AAAATAATCACCAATGTTGAGGTGAAAATTCAGGAAAAGAGTAATTTTTCCTTATTTTTTCTTTTGGGTACATCTTAAAGAAGTTCATGTAAAGGAGGGAAGAACTGATTTGTGGAATGATGTCTGGTTCAAGAGCAAAGAGATAGTTTACCATGACCCTATGACGAGTTACACAGTGGTAACAATGCGAGGAAGGAAAGCATAACATGACCGCGACGACAAATATTTAGAGGCGACAACTGACAAGAACCAAGGCGATGAAGAAGCAAGGCGATGGCTAAGATGAAGAACCCTAGTTGTTTGAAGGCAATCTCGTTTCATAAAAACCAACAGGACAAAATAGGTTTAGGTTTATTATAAAAGGGGTCAAGGGTAAGATAATCATTTCATGTTTTATTTGTGTCTTGTTTCTTACATCCAAATATAATATAAGACGTAATACACAACATCATATTCTCACTTCAAAACATAATACACAGACATAAACATTAGTGTCTCTGTCCTTCATTGTCTAAGTGTCTCTGTCTCTATTGTCTAGAGATAATATCCAAACGCTACCTTAGGGTTCTTGGCAAGAACTATTACTTAAATCTTATCAAGAGTTCCTTATACTCTTATGGTGATTCTACACTAAGTTTATCATTTCCTTTTCTACATTGAATTGAGTTTGTGCTACTTTCTTCTCCTTTCTAGCATTTTTATTCATTTTCTTGTTTGCTTTTGGAATTCTTATTTTTATTTAAATTATCACACAATCATAACTCATGTCTTACGAAACCTTTTTCAAGGTTTCTTAACCTAATTAAGCTAACTCAAGAAAAAAATTGAATTGATTCACATCAAAATGGATAGAAAAGGAACAACAATTAGAAAGATAATTTGTATAACATATTAAGCACATAATAAGTATGAAAATTTGTGCAAAATTTTAAAGGTGATAAAACATAATCCTAGTAAATTACCCAGGTATGAGGAGATTTATATATATATATATATATATATATATATATATATATATATTTTAGAATCTCTTTAATAGAAAGATAATTTGTTACGAGATAACCTTGATGTAATGTACATAGAAAAAAATTATTTGATAGTGTGTTTCATATTATTATGTAGGTGGATGCCTAATTAGTCAACCATTGATGCCTTCAAGACAACCATTTGGTCACACTTGAACCCTTATTATAAGTGAAGTGAAATTAATGACTCTATATTCTTACTTGTTTTTATAGCCTAAATGTTTATATGTGACCATTATTTTAATTTAGTTTTACATTGATTTATATATTAATTGTACAGTTTAACATAAAAAGGACACAATTAAGTTTTTAAGCATTTTGAGCCTAATTTGGTTGAAAAAATAAAGTTTCACAGTAGTCAACATACTCAGACCCTAGCAGCAAGGACAAGGGTGCATTAATTCATATGTATGATCATGCTTACCTGTGGCAAACCCAATTATAAAGAATTTTTTAGGGTTTTCAACCTTATTAAAAGGAACCTCAGGGGCAACGATTGAGGACACACCATTTAGATTCTATTTACATGTTGTTTTGACTTTGTTTCCACCTCATCCCTTCTACACCTCTGAGTTATCCCTTTTATCATATTTTTGGTGAAACTTAGAGCTTTGAACCATTATACTTAAAGACCAGGAACTTATCTCATCCCTAACCCTTAGGGACATTTTAGTTTGCTATTTTCATTTGACTATGGCTTTGTTTATAATTGTTTTAGTTCTATTATTTAGCATGAGTAACTAAATCTATAACTATGGCTATAGAAATTCTTATTCATGAATTTATGAAATTTTGATGTTTGAATCTAAGTTTGTTTTCTATTTGTGATTAGTGTTTGTCTTATTGTGCATAATTATATGTTGTGAATTGACCATTCGTAACATAACCCTAATTAATTATATTGTCAGGTGACCGTACCTCAATTAGTTAATAGATCTCTAAGATAAAATGAGACAAAAGATTAGGTGGACTAAACTAATCTTTCTCTTCCAATCATTATTAAACTAACAAGTTTATAGGTACTTTATGGTTTCTTAAATTGATATCTTGCATGACTAAAGGAATTTTTTTAACACATGTTGTGTCCTTTTACATATGCCCTTGATAGATATAGTCCTTTATTAATCAAGAAGAAAAAGGGAGAAGAGAGATAATCTTATTTTTATCCATAATTGTAATTTAATTTTGTATTAGTAATATACTTGCATACATAGAATTTATTTATGCCTATGGTAATGTTATTAAGGAAATATTTATTAAGGGTATATTTATTCACACTTGTGTTTTCCCTTGGATGCATTCTTATTTATTTAAATAATATTATTGTAATTTTATTAAGAAATTATTTTTAAGTAAGTAATGAAAATACACAAGGTTTAATATTAAATAAACAACATTGATTGATTAAAATAATTATAATATAACAATACCAAAATATTAATATAAAAGACAGTCATGTTAATATTAAAGAAGAACAACATAACATTAGAACTAAATTATCAGCACTCCACACATAAACTAGGCCTAAGAGCATAAGAATAATGCCTCCAACTATGGTTCTCATCTTGACCAAAATTATAGTGTGGTGATGTCTCATTTGACGTATATCCATTTCATTAAGAAAATAGGTTGATTTCGGACGACTTTTTATAGTGCACTTTAAGTTAGGATTAGGATAAGGTTTTAGACATCAATATTTGTGCCACTTGGATTCATTCTCAATCACTCCAAATTCCTTCTTGTAAACTTTGCATATTTCATTGATCGTATAGACATAATCTACATAAGCATGATAGTTAATATTTTGACTACAACAAGTAACAATCATGTGACTATATGAATATTTATCAGTTTGCATGTTTTCACAATCACAATACTTTTGTCTCAGATAAACTCTATATTCTTGGCTATTGGATAAATCATAAACATTAAAAGCCACATTCCGTCTATCAAATTGAGTAACACAGGTTTCTTAAACACTGTTTGTTTAATTAAAGTTAAGTTGTAATATTTCCATTGTTCATTTCTTTATCTTATTACTACATTTATTGACTCGTGACAATGAGAAATAATGCCAATGTCATCTTTAGTAACGACATGTTTATATAAATTATCAAGGAATAAATTTCAAGTATCTACTGTCTCACCCTCAATAATAGCAAAAAGCAATTGACAATATATTCTAATTTTTATCTTATGCAACTGCCACTAGTACAACTCCCTTGTATTGGCCATATAGATGTGTCTGATCAACTTGCACAAGTGGCTTGCAGTGTCAGAATGTTCTAATGCAAGGATCAAAACTCCAAAATACTTGACATAATATTTGAACATTGGAAACTAATTCATCATTGCGATAAGCTTTTGAAGCATCCAATTGAATAACAGATTCTCGAACATCACACATTACTAAACACCATTACAAAGGCTTCCCATTGACCAAATATTTATTCAATTGTCTTTTACTTTGCCAACCATGTTTTATGATATGTTGTTGTGTATCCAAATCAAGATTGAATCTCCTAACCACCAATTTTGTTTTGGAAGAAATATCATATTCTACCATTTGCATTATACATTTTGAAATTGTGTCTGCATTTAACTTTTTGTGAGCTTGAGAAATCATTCCACTAGTACAAGTGTGTAGACTGTTATACTTTCTAATTTTCAAAAATATTTGTTCTTCCTAAGACTAGCTCGAAAAATCCATTTGCAATCTATTGCATACTTTACACATTTGTAGTAAAATGTATTTGATTTTGACTCAAACACTTTGTAATCAACTCTTTTTGATATATTGTAATGCTTTATTTTTTGTATAACAATTTCTTTGCCATTGAATTTTCTTCCAACATACAATTGCCATCTACATCACAATTACCTACCAATGAAAAAAGTAAACTAACTAACATAACTAAAATTAAATTAACTAACATAATTATAAATTTTACACACCTAAATTTGCATACTCTAAAAACTCATGTATGCATAGCATCAAAATCTAAACCACGCATGCAGGATAGTTTCCCAAATGAATGTTGCCTAACTAAATGAGACTCCTCATCATTAGCATCAACATCAACGTCATCATCAAAATCCTCATCACTTTCATATTATTCTTCAAAGTCGTTGTCATCATTTTCAATGTTATCTATTGTTCTCATTCCATCTCTGTATCTAGCATGGTGCTCGCATATGCTTCTTGAACCACATGATTTTTCAAAACTATAGCTAAACGTTACTAATGTGTATGGAACATTTATTGAACATCATCATCATTGGTTACTAGAATTGTATGATATTATATGAAATTATCAAATATCGAGACTAGACACCAATACATAATACTTTCCATTATTTTTAGAAACTTGATTTCAATACATTGACAAAGCAAATATTTTATATCTCCAAGTGATACTTTATATCTAAAACGATATATATTAGCTTTTTGCATGTAAATGACACACTTTTACGTATATTTATTACAATCTTACCATTAAAATAGACTAAAATTGACACACTCATCTTTTTCTAAAACATACAAATGAATAGCAATATAGAGACTAACAAATATTTCAAAAACTTTCATGAGCAACTCACTATTTATGAGAATTGTAATATTTATAGTGTCAACAATTAAAAATTTTTAATTATTTTTTTAAAAAAATGTTAATGACAATTTATCACCTAAAAATATATTTTTTAATAATCTATTAGGATTCTCACTGACAACCTTTGACTAAATATTTTTTATTGGCATTTTTTAGACTATTTTTTATTTTCTAAATCTAACTAATGGCGATTTTTAATAGTAAAAAATTATTAATTTTTGTCTTTAGAATCGTCAATGGTGACTTTTAACTCTAGTTAATTACTTAACAATTAAAATCGTTAGTGACGTTATTAAAATAATTATATTTATGTAAATATGTCAAAAATAAACTATATTTTAGTAAATTAAGGAAAAAAAAAAAAAGAGCCCGCATTTTCGAGCAAAGAGAATAGCACCGAGTAACCTTATCCGTTTAATTTGGTTACGGACCACCCTCGTCCTGTTAACAATAGATAATGAACAGTGGAACTCGAGCTTCAAAATTATTTCTCCGTTGAACACACATTGATGCCAGCTCCCCCTTTCTCTTATTTTCCCCTGCAAACACAAAATTCAGCTCTTATGTAAACATGATTGCCCTGAAAGCCATTCATGCTTCCTATACTCCTACAAGCAACACATACACTTTCTACCACGCAAGGGTTCCCAACACAAGAAGTTCTGTTTTCTGCCTCTGTAAGTCCAATGAGTCTGATTCTGAGGCTGAGGCTCCCCAACCTGAAGGCGATGCTCAAAACCAAGAGCTACTGGCCCAAATTGCAATGCTTCAAACTCAAAAGGTTCGCCTCACTGATTATCTGGATGAAAGATCTGCTTATTTAACCCAATTTGGTGAAGAAGCCATCGCTGAGTTTGACAAGATTGGAGAAGATGCCCTCAAAGGATTAGATGAAGCTGGTGCCAGAGTATGTATCCTTCAACTTTCGAGTTAACAACGCTGATTTAGATTTTAGATTAATTAATGAGTATTCTTGGCAAATTTGTCTCTACTAAACTCAGATAACTCTTCTAGGATAGGGCAACTCAATTTCATGATACAATGTTACATTATAAAACGTTGAATAAACAGTCACTTTAGTCTTTAAACTTTCTACTAACTTTTTGCTGTTTCATGCATTAAAAATAACCTCTCTCCTAGTTCTCGAATTTTTCATGAAGTTAATTACTGTTATTGTCGAAGCAATCACAGAGTAGGTGTGATAAACTTAACCAATTTTCTGATAGTTTAAGCATTTGAAGAGAACTTTTTTAGTGGACACTAGTTTAAAGTAGAGTTAAAATTTTAAGATGTAAAGTAGTTTTTAGGGTTTTTTTTTTTCCAAAATATGATAAAAATTAAAACATATTATCAAAATAAGGTATCTGAAAAACATTTTTTTCTATCTAAGATGTTTTTATATTAAAAAATAAGTGTCAGCTTTTATATAGCTGATATTTTTTTTTATTATTAAAAATATAAATGTCAGTCCTATAGATGACGTGTTAAAAATACTCTATACAGGAAAAATGTTTTTCCTGTACTCCATTTTAATAATATGTTTTAATTTTTACTATATTTTTGGCAAAAAAAACTCTAGTTTTTAGCCCATGTTTATAAAATATCTCAGAACTTATAAAAGTAAGTGAATATTTAACCAAACACGCACTTATTTTACAGTATTTGAATTCTAAGTTAAACTAATATGGGTCAATAATTCAATCTAGGTCAATATATATTAGTGTGTAAAAATCAAATTATTACTCTAACAATGACCCGTTTATATTGATTGGTTATTAACAGATAACAGCGAACATAGAGAGCCAGATGCTAGAATTCGAGGAATCTACTGAACTGAACAGACAAGAGATTCAGGAGAGTGAAAACAAAATAGTGGAATTTGAAGGTCAAATTGAGAAGGAGAGAAACGAGGGGCTATTCTTTAAGAACCTTGGGAAGAAGGCACCTGATGATAAAGCAAGTGACAAGGAGGAGGTGGAAAAGATCAAAGATGTAAGGAAAGAAAATGGTGGTAGCAAAACTAGGAAAAATGTTTACCTCTTCTTCATTGGCTTGCTGACTTTTGGAATAGTTGATTCTATTGCCTCATCCTCAGGCGCTGATTGGAGAAAAGTTGCACTTCTTGGAGCTATTCTTGTGGCCTTATTTTCTGTGTTTATTGATGAACAAAATAAGGACAACAATAAAGACTAACAATAACGAGGAAAGGAATCAAGTTCATGTTTGTATTTTGATCAAATAAGATGTTTCTGAGGGAAAAGCATTTTCATTTGCAAATGGATATGGTGTTATTGAATATATAGCCCAAATAGAGAGCTTACATTACAATTTGGACCTGATGCATCAACCTGCTTTGCTTGGGCATCAACTACAACTGATATATTGGTGATATCACTCCAATGTCCAGAATTTCTTATGTATATATTTACATTATTAGTTGCCAATTTTGAAGTATCCGTATGCTGAAATGCAGAATTTCTCATTGTTATGTTGATACAGAAAATATATACGTAGGTTCAAAGTTCATCATCATCATGGCTATTACAAATGTGTATTTAGAAGCACAACGTGCCTCTAAATATTTCTATCATATAATTGAACAAACAAAGGGGTGTGCTGCATCGTAAAGGAGAAGATTTGTAATTTGCTCCCTAAAAGTCGTAAGCCAATTCAGATAACTCCTTAGGCACATAACTACCGTTCAAATCAAAACATGACTTTGCATATTCATTATGCATTAATCCACACAGAAATTCCAAACTTTGTCAAATTTTCATTAAATTGTATGCATAAAAACAATTTTCCCAAATGTTGTCGCCGATGAGCTGCTTATTGGATGTGTAAAGAGAACTATTTATAAGCCAAAGTATGTTTCGTATTTAAAATGACTAATCAATTACTAGTATGACACAGAACGTATTAAACCTAGTTGTCAGAGGATGACCGTGTGTAACTGCTTTCCTGTTCTAAATTTGAAAAATAAGGAATATGAGAATCCTAGTGAGACAGTACTTGAGTTAGAAGGAAATGTAATGAATTTGCATAATCCTGAAGCTTAAAGAAAGTTACCTTATGTGTACATTTTACAACAACATTGACTATTGTTTGCCGTGTGACTTCAAGTTAGTTAATGCTTTGTTTGAGACTTCTCTAAACTCCACTTTGTTTGAGACTTGAAATTAGGAATGACAATTGATAAAAGACCAGATGGACACCCATAAAATTTACTTATAATTAGTAGGATATTTGTCCACTACATGGATATGAATGCAGGTATGGATATCTACATACTCACCCCACTCCATACTTGTATGTGTGTGTGTGTATATATATATATATATATATATATAATTATAAAATAAACCAAAAAATTTATTTTGATTCATATTTTTAATAAAAAAATTATTTACTATTTTATATCATTTAAATAGGTTAATACAATTTAATTATTATATAATTGATACAAGATTGACTTTTAAAAAAATTATTTATATATGACACAAATAAAATATTTTTTACACAAATATTTTTGTTAATAAAATCGTATTAATATTTAAATCATAAAGTGAATGATAAATAATAAATATATTGTAAATATTTTATAAATTTTATAATCACCTACTATTACTATAAACTTATTATTTATTAATAATATTTAATTTTTATTTTTTATATTTCAATTTAAAATAATATTTTTCTATGCAACATGTGCATTACAAATACAACTATAATCTATTAAATTTAAATAATATTATTCTTACAATTTATTTACATGTAAAGAAGTTTTTGAAAAGATATAAAATATAAAAAAATATTGTTAATTCTTATTTGTTAATTTTTTTCAGGTAAAAAAGTATAATTTTTTTACTATAAAAATTTATTATGACTATTTATCTTTTATTTAAATTTTTTCTTTTAAAATTTATATACATTATAAATATTTAATCTATTAAAATAATTTTTTTAAAAATTATATTTTTGACAAAATATTTTTGTGTAGTACATGAGTAAAAATACTACTATATATTATAATTATATTATATTATTTTAATTAAATTAGTTATTTTTCTTACAATTTTAGATTCAAAAGTTAAAAAAAATGTGTTTAAGTGTCAACTTCTCGCTGTCATTTAGTATTTGAACTTCTCTGCCTTAACCATACTCTCATTCTCAATATCTGTCTTATTCAAACTTATTGCAGCAACCATGAATATTTATTCATTAAAGCTAGTTGTTAATGTCGCCACAAGAGATCACCAAGTGACCTTGCATGAAAGGTCACCCATTATGCAGATCTATCTTGTCGTCGCTTTGTTGTTGTCGTTCAGTTGGATCTCACATGAGACAACGTTATCATCGAAAAATAACTTAAGTGTTTAATTTTACTTATGATTTCTAAGAGTTTTAGTTTAGAAAATTGTTGTATTAACATTTAGCACTCATAATCTTTGAATATTTATTTTTTATATATGTTTATATCTTTTTCGATAACTACGTATTAAATTTTTATATTATTATAATATTTATGCAAAGTTATATAAGCATATTTTTCTTTATAAATATTTTTTTCTTTAAACAGACACAAATAATGAGCACGAGTACGAATATATAGATACCTAAAGGATATCAGATGTGAGATTAATGTTGAGATGACTGTCATAGTACATTACTCATACTCTATCTATTGTCATTCATATTAGGGTGCTAAACTTTCATTATGTTAACAAAATAAAAAGTAAGTCTTTTTGACTCAATAGAGTAGAATTTAAACCTAAACAAGGTTGACCCAAAATGAGATTACATAACCTCTTTTGTAAACTCTAATAAGAATATAACTGTGCATTATCTCAAAGGGAGTACTTGATTAGGCCCTCCCAGTCAAGGCCCAAATCAAGCATACGACGAAAACCAAATAAGCTTCCCTACAAGTACATACATATTTTCTGGGTGCAATATCATCTTCAAATTTTAATGGGTTTGCAGAGATGACTCTTTATAATTGCAAATAAAACTTATAACTCTATTAAGCTTGATATAAAGAGTTTCTTCTCTTTACAATTTTTTAGTGCTTGATTAGTTTAAAGTTAAAGTAAACTTGATTTTAAGTTATTAGATAGGATTGAGATATGTGTATAAATGAATTTGAATCATACATTTTTATTGAAACATATTTTTCATTGAAAAATGCAAAAACTGATATCTCAACAACAAAACAAATAAGCTTTTTTAAGTACCTCATTCTAACTTCTCTATAAACACTTATAAACTTACAAGTTACACGAGATCAAATATTTATGTCAATTAAAAGGTTCTCATAAATTAAAGAAAAATATTAACACAAGCTTTTAAGGTTAATTTTGAATAACGAAAGAAATATTTATTACACTAAAAATCCAAAATATAATAAGTATACATTTTTAATAAAAAAAATTATTAATTTTAAATATTTAAAATCAACTATAATAAACTGACTTTCATGAAACTGATTATTCCATAATTCTTAGTCTTTTTAAAGTCCGTATAAGACTAGTTCAGCCATCTTCAAATTTCGAGTTTTAACCCACCAATAAACAACTATATTATATATATTTTTTAATTTTAATTTTTAGAAATGGGTTTAAATATCTAAAAATAATAAGTTTTTATCATAAAAAAAAAACATATTTATTACACTAAAGTTATAATACTTCTTTTTTAGAAGTATTTTTTTTTTTATTACTATTAGCTCTATTAGCTCACTCCCATAGGGATATCAACATTTTATTTCATATATTTAAAGTGTATTTGAATAAACAGTTTATTTAAATATTTATTTAATAATTTTTTTAAATGATACATTGTGTGATAAATTTTACCATAAAACTTATTATAATAAGCTAACAAATAGTTTATTTTAATGTTATATAAGTTTTTTTAAAGTACATTAAAAATAGTTCATGTAAATCATAAGTTGTTTTATATAAATTGTTTATAAACTTTTTAAATAAATTTTTAATACTTTACTCAATATCATTTTAGTAGGCGTGTTCGCAAATTGAATTGATAAATGTTAGGAAAAAAAGGTCATATAATGCAATCATAAAATTATATTGTGATTTGATTTGAATAAGTTTGAATAAAAATTTAAATTTAATATAATCCACTATAATTAAAATTAGTTTCAATTAAATTGAATTATTCAATTTTTATAATTTTTTTATTTAAAAATAATAAATAAATATTCTTAATAAAAAATTTATGTAAAACTTATAAAAAAAATATGACACAAAAATAACTTTAAATTTTAATAAAGCACAAATAAATTTAGAAACATTAAAATAATGAAATATACCACAACAATAATAATAATAATAGTAATAATAATATTATTATGTAACTTTGTAAACAATATCATAAAAAAATAGTTAAGTAATACAATTTAATAAATATATAATTATGTAGATATGAATAAGATGTTAATTTTATAAATAAAATAATATGTATGCAAATAAATTCAATTTAGGTTGAATTGAACCAGTTTTTAAAATTGGATATGAAATCTAATTCAATTTGATTAAAAAAATTATTTTGTAATTTTAAATTTTTAATGAATTTGATTTTTAGTTTTTCAATTCAATCTAATAAAAATTGTTTTTATATTTTTTTTTTATGTTTTTCTTATTTTTATTAATTTAGTTTTTAGTTTTTCCATTCAACATTTCAACACTCCTACTTTATGAGTTTACACTCTTGAAATATGTCAGCAAGTTAGAATTCATATTCTCTCTCACTCTAACAAGAACTAGATAATCATTTTTATTTTTGTTAAAAATAAATTTATTTAAGTAAAAATATGAAAAACAACAAAAAAAATTACAGAAAAAGGGTGGAAGGTTGCGGAGAAAAGCACAATTTTTTTAGTTATTTTTTGTATTTTTATTTAAATAAATTTATTTTTATTTTAAAAAGAATTAAAACTAAATGTCTAATTCCACTCCGCGAATACATTAGGATTAAGAGAGATAATATATAATAACAAGAATCAAAGTGACAAGCGTAAAACCGGTGTACATTGACTTGTGTTGCAAACGCAGTGATAATGGAGCTTTACAAATTGCATTGAATAGAGAGAAAGTACACACAACACTTGCTGATTCAAATAAGAAGGGATTTTATTCCTTCGATATCATGGTGGGACATATATTCATCTTACTTGCTCACTATCAATCATTCATTTCTAATTTCTGTCTAGATTATGGGATTTGAGCTTCCTATACACTGTTTAATCAAAGCGCTTCTTTTTTGGCCTTATGGTCACCAAAATCAAATTGCTCCTTTTCACTCCAACTTCTCACTGCTTTTCTTTGAGTAGAAAAAACATTTAGGATTGATATACATCAATATTAATTAAATCTTTTTTTATTAAGTGCATATTTAGTTTTGCGTAAGTAATTTTGAACGTACATAATCTAAACGCTACAAAATTATCTTTTTAAAATTAAACTTGAGTTAAACGCATCGGTGATGTGGATTCAATACAAACAGCACGTGTACTTGATACAGCGTTAAATTTAAATAATTCACATCACAAACACAAGTGTATGCTTAAAAGGCTTATTAAATTAAAATTTAGTTAAACTATATTTTTAAATAAAAAATTATAACTTGAAATATTAAAATACACTCACTTTCGAAAATATTTGACTTTAGTTCGAACACATAATATAATTATAGATTTGCAACCGCAAGTCATGATTGAACAAACACATATGGAGATAAATAAGCCTACTGACAACTTTTTTAAGTAAAGACCGCATAGGTAAGAAGTGATAACTGAACTGACTATGGAGAAAAATAAACTGACCAGAATAAATTAGATTGACAATTATAAAATACAAGTATTAAAATTAATTGTTACAAGATTGTGCAAAATAAGTAAATAAAAAAAATTGTGTAAAATAAAATTTATTTATTTAAAGATTTTATGTAAAACATATTAAAATATACAAATTGATTAAATCGAGTTTCAAACGACTCGATTTCGTTTAAATAAAATTTTAAATATAAAATTATATATATATAATTTTTTTAATATTAAACTCTTCAGGTGCACCCAAAAAAAAAATGCTAACTTGGAGCTTAAATAGTTAGTGATAAAACAAGATTAAAGAATTGACATAAATAAAACATAAAGCAGAGGAAGAATTATGAGGGTGGACCGACAAATTGTTGAATAGGGACCGACCCATATATTCTGCATCATTTGGCTTTCCCTGTAGTTCTCGAAGGTCGGCATTGCTCTTCGTAGAATCCTTATTTGGGGCATCCAAGATCTGCTTACCTTAATCTGTGCATGTCTAGGCAAGAAATCGTGTCCCAAACAACAATATTCTATTACAACCGAACGACTGAAAATTCCCAAAGAATCTCCACTGTGCAAGTTCTAAATTATTAAGGAACAAACCCACGAGTTAGTTCTCAAGATTGCTTATGGGTCGTACACTTTTTTTTAGTCTTTCAAATTTTATAAATCTCGGTTAGTTTAACTTTGTATAATATTTATTTTAATTTTTAATATAAAAAAATCAAAAATTAAAAATAATTTACAGTGCCTTTGATCTAAATTTTAAATAACAATTTTGCTAAGATACATTTTAATTCCATATGCAAAATCCTGAGTAACTAAAAATATTGCAGATGAAGCATAGTGAATAATACAGTGTGCGAGGTGAACTACTATATTTTATGAATAAAAGAACAAAGGAGGCAAGTATCTGCTATACTTTCTGTATACTATAAAAATCTTTGCACATAGGCAAAATATATCAACCATCAAGCTTCAGTTGACGTTGACCTAACATACCAGTAGCATTAATATTCCTCTAGTTTCAAGTCAATCAGTAGCTCCAACACAGAATCTGCAAATTTGTTCTTCTTTTACAAACATGGAGGGCCAGCTTTCTGCACTCTTATCCCTATTTATTCTTTTCCTGTTGTCTTGTTCCTGTTAAAACCTTCCTTATGTCAACACACTGTTCATTGTCTTGGTAACGCAAAATGCAAGTGTCTTAAGGTCCATTGATTTCCTTGATTACTGAGGTCTCTGTCCACGTCAGTGAAAAAATATTGTAGCTTCTCATAATGGTTTCAACGGCTTCTCAATATCCTATAACTTCTCGTAATGGCTTGTAACCTTAATACAAAGGTCAAAACAGGTGTTAAATCTACCTTTGTGAAGTCGAAGTTCGGTTGATCTGTTTGCTACAGAAATTTTCTTAGCTCTAAATTTTCCTGCTAGTCACACCAGCCTTTGGTGAACATAGATATATTTATTGATATGGGTTGATGTTTTAGGGGGGGCCATGGTCTGATAAGTCACATGTAATAAAGTTTGATTATTGATGGTAAGGGAAAAAAGATCGACCCATCAGGTCACAACTATCTTGCTGTACTCAAAACTACAACTCATGACAAAGCGCAATAGCAGGTGGCATGAGCCCACCCTGTAACCACTTTTGCAGGTACATATAACATGCCAAAAATCCTAGTTAATATGCTCCCAAATTATGAGCTTTCCAACCTTACGCCAATCACCTAAAGCTTTTGCAGCGTAAAGACAGAAAAAGAGTCCAAAGAGAAAGCATATTTTGAGTAACGCCACAAATCTAGCCATATGTCCCATTCTTTTTCTGTCAAATTATAAAAAAAAATAATAATAATAACAGAGGGGAAGAATGAAGAGATTCAAGTCACTATTGACTAACGGCAGCATAGACTGAAAGAAGAAACACTGAAAACTCCTGTTATTAAGATTAAATTGAAGAAGCATGCTACTCACTGTAAAAGAAAAATGCAGGGTGCTTTATCCAACCAACCATCAAGAATAATACATAGGGCATGTGTGGTTTACACAACAAATGCACAGCAAAATTAACAACATGAAACCAAAAGAACACCTTATGGACCTTCCATGTTAATACAATCCAAGCACGCTTCTTGCAATAGAATGTGCCTGGTTCGACCTACTTTTCACAGACCCATTTCTACGGCTCCCTCTCATGGGAGTCAAGTAGAACCGCAAGAGACCATTGTCAATGTTGTTAGGAGAGTACCTTGCACTCCTGTTCCTTTCCAACACAAACTCATCCTTACCCTTCTTTCCATTCCCATTACCCTGAATACCATTCCTCCTGAAAGTCCCGAAAGGCCCACCATTACCAATGCCTTGAGAATTTCTCCAACTCACACTGCTATTGCTCCTCAACACCCTGCCATTGAGGCCACCACCTCTACCATCTCCACCGCGATCACCTCTCAACTCCTGCCACGACTCCGAGAAGGACCGCTCCACCCCATTCACCCTACTATACCTATCCTCATCCTCATCCTTGTTCCCACTACGCCGGTGAATAAAGCCCCAAATGCTCCACCTCCATCGGCGTGACTTCTTTGACCCTTTCTGGTTGCCATTTCCAATCACACTCATGTCAAACGTCTCGGAACAGCAATCTTCCCTCATCGAATTCGAACTCAAATCTCGATCATTGAACCCCATTTTCACCCCCTGCACATAATCAACACCAGCAGGGGTCACCTTGGCATTAACAGTAACACTATTGCCGTTATTATTACCAATGCTGCCACTTGACACCGACTTCAACTCATCAACCTCCAAAGAAACACTCTTCCTAACCGAATTGGACCTATCAAGACTCTTCCTCCTCCTAGATGAGGAATCAGAATAGTATTCTCTAGTCTGTGCAGTTCCACCAGGCACATATTCATCCTCATTCACCGGTTCCTCAACCGGAATTTGTGTATCAGTCCTCACAACATGATGCACCGGAGCATCCTCCACCACCGACAACATCGTCGGCATCCTCGGAAAGCCCGTTCTTCCGATCAAGTACCCATCCCAGGAAGCCCGGGGCTCCTCCAACGAGTACCTCGGATCGTCGAAGGACATCCGGCCGGCGTCCAGGGAGAACCTCCCAGCGTCCAGGGAAAACCTGGGATCGGTGTCGCAGGACCGCCGGCCGAAGCCGTAATCAGCGATCTCCGACTGCGTGTCCCGGAATTGCCGCCCGATCGGCTTCTCCACCGGCAGCGTACCGTTACGCCGCTTCTTTGTCTTCTGCTTCTGCCTCCATTTCTGCAACTTCTTGCTGAAAACCGATGCTGCAGACCAGAAGCTTCCGGCAATTTCCTTGAAGTCCCTCGCTTTCTTTGCTTGCGATGAATCTAGATCTATGTGGTCCTTCATTGTCTTCAACTCTTCTTCCTCTTCTTCTTCTTCAACAACAATAACAGCTTCTTCTTGTTGTTCTTCTTTTTCCTCCACAATTTCGTTCACATCGCACACATTGGGTTCCTCCAAAACCCTAATCTCGTCTTTCTCTTCGTGCTCCTCTTCGGCTTCACCTTCGACTTGCTCTTTGTATTTGTCTTTAAGTTCCTCCTCGGTCGTTGACGAAGAAGCGAGCGTTTTGGAATGAACTTCGGGCTCGGTCTGAACTACACGTGGAGGCTCGTCGTTTTTGGTGTTTAGTGTGTTGTTGTTGCTATTGTCTTGGTTAAAGAGGTTCCAGAGAGTGCTCCTGGCTCTGACGTCGCAGGACTTTCGTTGAGGTTCAAAGACACCGGAGAAGGGTTCGTTTTTAGAGGCAGAGAAGGACTTAGTGCGGCGGAGCTCCGGGAGAGAGGGTGGTCGGAAAATGGCTTTAAGGGCGGCGGCGGCGGTGGGGGGTTTGCGGGAGGAAGAGGAGTTGTTGTTGTTGTTGGGGTCGAGAAGGGCGAGGCGTTCGCAGAGGCATGAGGGACAGAAGCCGGTGAAGTGTTCTTGTGGATGGCGGTGGCAAGAGGTGGAGGGTCGGTGAGGTTGTGGCGGTTGGGGTGGGGGATTCATAACCGAAAATGGGGTGTGGAGGTTTGTGGTTTGCTCATGTTAAGAGAATGGAGTGTGAAGAGAAAGCGGAATGAGTGAGCGTAGTGTGATTTGTCTCTGTGTGGAGACGACAGGGAAAGAAAAGAGAGAGAGAGAGAGAATGATGATAGTGAGAGGTTGCAGGTTGGTGGAACTGTTTGGTTCCTAGGGACAGCCACAAAACAAAATTAAGCTTCATATCATACTTCCTTTCCTTCCAGTACAATAATAATATCGAATGTAAACGTAAATTCATAAAATAAATACAATAACTAGTCATTTTATTATTCCAAAACTTCATTTAAATTGATTATTCAAATTCATATACACTAATAATTTTTTTCACAACATAAATATCATTAAATTAAATTAATAATTAATGATAAATTAAAATTTATTATATAATGTTTTTAATTTTAATAATTTAATACCATTTTTATTATTTATACTAAATATTTTATTGTATTAAATACATTCAAATTAAAGAATTAATTTTTAAATAATAAAAAAATTATAAATATTTAAAAATATTAAATTAATAATTAAATGTTCAAAACTTTATTATAATAGTTTTTAAAAAATTATACCTTTATTTAAGATAGTTTTAAGCAATTAAGTACTATTAATTTTAATTAGAATAGTGAAAGGTGCGTATTAAGTTTATCACAAATTACTAACGTAAAACATTAATTTTAATTAAAAATAATATTAAAAATACTTAAAGAATTGTATTTAAATATTATTCTCCTAAAAAGTATTCTTAAATAGATTCCTATTTAAGTATTTAATACATAATAAAAACAATATTTTTTTTTTATTTTTGACAAAAATTATGAAAAGGGAAATGCAGGAATGGATGTAATATATGAATTGGAAATTTCTCCCGTACCATGCACTAAAATGTAATAATATTTTACAAGACAAAGTATCGTAATAATTGTTAACTTTTTTTTTTTCAAATTATCGCCTATGTGAATATGAATGGTAAAATTGGATACATTAAATTAAAAGTTACAAAATTTTAGAACTCACAAAAGGCAAATGAACGTGGTGTAAACGTTTGAAGAAATGGTTACAAATATTGTATATTTATTTATGATTATTTTATAAGTGCAATATTATACAATATAGAAAATTATATATAATAATTATTTCAATTTTTTTGTTATAGATATTTTCTTATATGAAAAATCCATCTATTTATTCCCTCTCTCCACATCATATGAATAAAAATAAATTCATATTTTAACGTTTAACTTTTCAATTATGCTCCAAAATTTCCTCTCATTGGAAATTTCTCTCACTTGGGTTCCTTTCCGTTTTGTTTGAAACGCTGCTTTTTTTACTTTAGGTGTGGAGTGCGGAGTTCCATGGGGTCAGAACTTGTCACCATTTGCAGAAAATAAACAATGAGAGGTTGTGTTTTTTCTAAAGATGATGGGGATTGAACCTTTTATTGTATGATTTTTATTTTCGTTTTACAATTATTGATCACGAATTTAAATATTTTTATTTATTTTTTAATATCTGTAATATTGTAATTTGATTCATTATAATTATTTATTTTTTCTAGCTTATGTTTAATAATGTGTGCATACTTTATTAAAAAATATGGCTTTCTAACTGATAAATATGATAATTGGCTTCTTATAATGACTTCGCTATACATAGCCAAATAACAATGTAAAATAATTTATTTATATTAATGATGAATCAAAATTGATATTCTTGTCAGAAGTCATATTGAAGACTGCCTGTCAACATTAAAAGCCTCAAAACAAAATATCGAATATTCATTGTTATGATATCTCACCTAAAAAATTATGATCCACATCAAATTGCATGAAATTAAGGTTCATCTCAATTCAAATTCACAATTTTTTTAACAAAAAAGATTACTAGTTTGCTATGATGATATAATCCATTGATTGTAGTTTATAAATGTGTTATTATAATATGAAAGGAGACTACAGTAAAATGTTTAAGTAAAGTAATTAATGAGGTGTCTTTCAAAGTAATCAAGATTTAAAGAAACAAAGAAAAAGCTTCACAACATTATTTCTTCAAGCAGGGAAAAAATTACTTTGAGGAACAATGTGACCCAATGGACCAGTTGTACCATCTTTAAACCCATTTGTACTATATAATTAAATGTATATTTGATACGAATTAATAAATAGGGAGAATGTATTATATTCCTTGCATTAACTTTTCCTTTTCCCTTCCAAGTTAGTCCTTCAGCTTCATGGTAGCATTTTATTTATTCTAATGTAATTGTTCCTTTTTTTTAGCATGTCTCTTAAAAATTTGTTAAATTGATACATTTTTATTTATAAAAACAGTTACTGATTTCAAATTTATTACCGGACGATTCATTTAAGATTTGAGTTGTCTGGGACCATATTTTTGTCTGGTCACCAAGTGCACGAGCACACAAATAATCATAGAAACAGTGTATGACCAGACCACACCATGGTAGGCACGAGGACTCTCATAGGACACTTAGGACCAGCAAAGTGCTAATACATCGCAATCTTATCAACAGGCCAAACCAAATCAAGGTGATCCCTGTCTTTTCTCCATTTCTCACCAAATTCTAACGCCACCGATACCTTGTACCATAGTGGTACTACTAACCAAGTGTGTCATTAGCAAACCATAACTTTACAAATAACAAGAACAAGGTGACCACTTCGTGTTGCACATGCCTTTCTTTCTCTTTGTATACCTCTCTTGTTAAAGTTTTCTTTCATTTTTTTTTTTCCATCATAATATTATTTTTTTTCCCTTTTCTTCTTGTTTCATGGGATGCTTTCGATTTTCAAAGATTCCTGTCGAGAGAAAAAGTGAAAGTAAATCACGCCATCACAATGAGGTTGAGAGAGAGAGAAAGGGGGGGGGGGGGGGGGGGGGGGGGGGTCCTTCTACCTGATTCCCCCACTGCCCTTTCTCACATTTCGCTGTCTTGCTTTCTTTTTCTTTCCTTTTCTTTTTTTCTTTATTTTTCCTGTGTCTTTTACTTTCGTTCTCCCTTTTTCTTTTTCCTGTTTTAAATTTCTTTTTTTTTTCTTTCCTTTTCCGCTCTCTTCTCTGGACACGCAAAAAAAAAAAAAAAAAAAACCAAATTAACCTTTAAAATTATGAGTAGAATATTTTATTCCTTAATTTTTTTTAAAAAAAATATTAGTTTCGACTTTGAAAACTGAATTTATTTTAAATAGCTTTTTCTATGTAAATGACCCTGAAAAAACTTAAAGTATGTATTTGGACATTAAAAAAACTTATAAATATAGATCTAACACAAAATTATAACTGATGGCATTAAATTAAAAGAAAATTTATTTTATTTAAAAGCAAAACTAACATTCTGAAAAGTTTATTTATTTAGGGTGTTTTAGGATTATAGCTTGTAAAGTGTGTTCCAATTCAATGGAAAAGCAACTTAATATTACTTTTATGTAAATTATGGTATGAAACACAAAAGCATGCGTGTTCAAAACACAATTATAATTTTGTCGATAATGTTATGGGCGAATCTCCAAACCCAATTTTGGAGTTGTAACCTAAAATCCAATAAACTTGCACTGATTAGATGGCGAAACAGGAGAAATAACCATTCCCACTTGAGAGAAAAATGTAACGAAGGGCTACTTGGTTTTGATGATCTGATTATTGATGTGGAACTAGAAAGCATTTGGAGAAACTGCCACTGTGCCAGTCTTTGGTTGTGTTCGTGTCTCTGCCATTGCCAAAGATGTTTTGCCTTATGTTGGTTGAAGAAAGGGACATAAGGTAGGGATTGGCTTTAGTGTGGTTTGCCTTTTTACATTTGGCAAGAAAGGGTACGTAGGAAGGAGACTATTATAAAGACTAGACAAATTAATGGATCAAGTCCCACCTACACTCAGAAAGACAAAAATGGTATCCTTCAAAGCATAATGTGAAAGGCTTCAAATTCCCCCTAACATCAATTTCAAAAGGGATGCATGCTTTATCCATAAAAACTCCTTGCTTCCAAACTCCACACTCATCCACGTCAACTTTCGCCATGATAAAATTTCTTACCTATTTGTTTCTATCTACATTCTAACATTAACTCACCTTCTTTATGTTTTATTTCTTTCTATATAAGGATCATGGCACCTATAGTCATTAATATAATGTAACAGCGTATGTTTATTATTATTATTATTATTATCAAATGAATGATTATTTTTTTATATATGATATTTAGAAATTATATATACTGAAATATGGAATTTTTTAAAATATTACAAAAATATAAATTTTAAAAATCGTCTTTAACAATTTTTAATGTAAGTATAAAAGTTTAGAGATAAAAAAAATTAAAAATATGATAAAGTTTCAAAAATTATCAATGATGATATTTTTTAAAAAATTTAAAAATTTAAAAATTTAAAAATATAAAAAAATATAAAAATTTGGTTTAAAGTTGTGAATGACAATTTTTAAAAAATTATATTTCTTTAATTTTATAAAAAAATCTCATATTTCTGTAATTAAAAAAACGTATAAAAAAAAATCTATGAAACGTATCTAGTGAAAATAGTTCTTGTTTAAAATTGCAAAAACTGTAAATCTAAAGCCTATAATTATATATGAATAATTAAAAAAAGTTAAGTATATTATTTTGAATCTTTATTCTTATATTTATTATTCTTATTCTTATAATAATTATTAATATAATACAATAATTTAAATTGAATGATCAGATTAATAAAATTTATTTTAAAAGAATTATTAAAATATTATTTTACCAAGTTTCATCCCGATCGACCTATGTTATTATTCTCTTCTTTTTTCAACTTCAATTACTTTCACAAACCATAATAGGGAGGTAACGTTTGAATGATTGACACATAAGTACAAATTTGTATCTATTATTAACACATTATCCAACAAAACTTGTTACAAGTGCAACCATATATAGTAAGAATGGTCCCTCGTAAATCTCATTGTAG